ATATATCCCATTAAATGACAGAAGAAGAATTCAGTTTAGACAGTCAGAAACATATGAACAAGACACGAAGTCCTCTGCAGATGAAGAACATGAAGAACACGAAGAACATGAAGAAATACACATTAGCCAGTCAGAGATAGAGCCAGAAACACAGGGTCCTAGAAGGTCTGAAAGGACAAACAAGGGTGTGCCACCCAAAAGATTTGGAGTGGGTGGAGTGAGAGTCTGTCATGTATATGTTGAATCCAGAAATTACAAAGAGGTTATGGAACTTCCTAATTTTGAAAAGAGGAAATGGCTAGATGCCATGGATGAGGAAATGAAATCCATGGAGAAGCACAAAGCGTTTACAGAAACAAAGCTATATACAGAACACAGAGGTTACAGGTAACAAATGTGTGTTTAAATGAAAGTTAGAAAATATATGGTTCTTGAATGAAACAAGTGGTGCAATAAAAGTGATGGAAGACAACACTACCTGTATACACATGGCTGAAACAGAAAGAGTGAAAAATAGAAGTAAGCATGTTGATATTAAATATCATAATGTAAGAGAGGCAATAAGAGAGAAATTAATTGAGTTAGAGTATTGCCAAACTGAAGACAACATAGCTGATATACTGACTAAGCCTTTATGTACACAGAAGCATGAGAAATGTATAAATGAGTTGGGAATGTGTTATGTTCAGGCATAAAAAATTAGGAGGGGTGTCAGAATATAGAAATTTTATAGGTCTGAACATGTATAAGTGTTTCATTAACGAGCTGCCATTGTACACAGATGTGAGAATGCTGAATCACTCTGGAGATGATGCAATGTCTTGAAACCAGAAGAAGACCAGGTGCAAAGGATGAAGTCATCTGTCTTCTGATTGGACTAAAAATGCCATGTACATGTATATAAGTGGACTGTGTCTTTGTGTCTTTCTCTTCCTCCTCTACCACTTGCTGCAATGCATTATGCCCGATTGTATAAAGAATTCCTGCCATGCTGTTGAGATGCCTGCCTGTAAATATCTGTAAATACTTGTAAATACAACCGTCTTGCAACAAAAGAAGAACTTGTAACTGTCTTCAATAACTCTGCGTATTTCTACTGTCGCCAAACTGTGCCAGAAATAGAAACAAAACCCACACTGCTAGGCAGAATAGCAGGAAAAACCTTAAAATGTGCCACTTCTGTCTGGGTGGGATAAGGTTCAGACCAATCTTTAGAAGCCATTTTTATCAAAGAGGAAGAACTTTGTAAATGCTTCAGAAAGGTTTGCTTACTGACTTTTGTACTTTCATATCTGTCATAATTTACGGCATGCAAATCACTTTATAAGGGAGTCCCACAGCTAGCAGAATGTAATGGTGTGCAATCTACCTGGGCTATCTGGTTTAGCTAGGCTTTGTGGTTGTGGGCAGTCATCCCTAGAGAGGCCTGGAAAACTACCAGCAGGAATTGGGCCTTCTCGGTGGTGGCTGCAATGCTATGGAACACACTGCCTCCTGATATATGCCAGGTGCCCTCCTTCCTGACCTTCAGAAAACATGTAAAATCTGTGCTTTTTGAAAGAGGCCTTTAGGAATATTTTTCTCCTTTGACACTCTTGTGGATCCATGATTTTGATGTTGAATTTGCTTTGCCATTGCCTCTGAAGTTTTGTTTGCTTGTTTGTTCTTGCTGTTTTTATATTTATATGCTTGTGGTTGGTGGATGGGTAACTATTTTTCATTGTTGTTAGCTGTCCAGAGTAGTGCTTTATCAGCATGATAAGAAAGAAAGAAAGAAAGAAAGAAAGAAAGAAAGAAAGAAAGAAAGTAATTAATTAATTAATTAATTAATTAATTAATTAATTAATTAATTAATTAATTCACCAAGTAGTGAAACCTATTAGTCATACCTTCTGGACAATGGTGGTAGCCAGCTCTTCTATCAACTCTTCCTTATGGTCCTGCAAGTAACAAACTTCATTTTGTTTGTCCTATATAAAAGACACACAGAAACATTTATTCACTCAGTTATGTGCACTTAGAAAGTAAATAATAAACATGCATAAGATTCATAATAATTTATGAAGAGAATATTGAAATAATAACAATCTTGCATGCTTTCTAACACTGCATATCAGTGGGAGACTTTTTAAGGACCTAATGGGATACTACTTTCCCAGTTATGGAGATGGGCATGAAGCACTTTGTGCCAAGGCATCTTAAGTTGTAGGGAATCCTTGCAGGAATCCCTGCCTGCCTCCTCATCTGAGTGGGCAGCTGCTGGAGGAAGCTGAGAAGAGAAGTCCACACTCCTGCTGGGACTGGAAGATCACATGATGGGGTGGAAATGAGCAGTACACACTGGCTGGTAAATGGGGGAGCTGGCTGAGGGTGGGGAACATGCAGCACCAGAGGTGCTGCACCAGTGACTTAAGACAACCAAGCATGAAGTGCTTCTGTGAGGTGAAGAGTCACCTCAACCAGGATCAGGAGAGTGTACCGTCCGACTATCAAACAAAGAACAAGAGATGGGAGTTAAAGAAAGGGAACTAAGTAAATTAGAAATAAATGAAGAGACTGCAAATCAGGCAGGAAAAGAGGAAGATAAAAAGGGGAGGGAAGAGGGGTGAGGTAAAAGCATGTTGGGGAAAAGAGGAGAAAGTAGAGGAAAAAGAGGAGCTTGTAGAGTTGATCCAAGAAGACTCCTGGACAGGACAGTGGGTGGAATTCAAAGTGACCCGTGAGTACACTGAGAGGGAATGGAGACGACAGATGTATAGAAAGCCACCTTATTGGTGGGAGACAGAGGAGAGAAAGCAAAAGAAAGAGTACAAAGCTTGGGTAAAAACGGAAGAACAGAGAAGAGATGTATAGTGGGTCCGGAGACATCGCAAAAACTGATGAAGATATGTTAAATAATAAACCAGGTTTATTAGAAGAACTGAGTGTGATGACTGCTTCTTTGGACAAAGTTAAGTCAAAGGAGGTAGATGACAGGTGGTGAGATCACAGCTTCATGCCCATTTTTACCCAATAACCTATTAGAAAAGTTCTCTCCACCTCTGGTTTAGCCCTCCCCTCTTCTGGTTTGTTTCCTTTGCTTCCTTTGTTTGTTAGTCTCTCTCTCTCCTTTCCTGACCTCCCAACAATGCAGGAAGCATGGATGGGTTTCTTTATGTATGGAGAGTCTATTTTTTCTTATTTTTATACTGACTGTTGTGATGAGATGGGTTTTTGAGTTAAAGTCTTGTAAGGAATATGGGGTTTGTAACTGAGAAATGATCAAGAGAGGTTCCATCTTGTTTCTTTGTATAAAGTATCTTGGCTATGCTAACAGGTTGTTTTCTAGGTGAGCAGAGAGAATGTTATTCTGATAGCCTGAGAACAGGACTCGGTGTGATTAGATGGGAATTGTTGTGACTTTTTGCGATACCACAGTAAACCCAAATAACATCTGGTGTGTATGGGAAAGAAGTCA